TTTATAAGGAAAGTTGCAGGAAAAAATCTCTAAATTTTTCGCCGTTAAATATATTCTTACTTCAATGTTGTAGTAGTCGACGGATTTCGAAATCAAGGAGAAGATTGTATAGTTAACTATATTTCTACTTTATATGTTGTTGTAGTTAACTATTTAATTAATAATATAATGAATTATATAATCATTTCAATAATTAATTCAATTGTAATAACATAGTTAACTATATAATCTTTACAATTATATATTATTTAGTCTATATTTATCAAGATAGTTAACGAAATAACATTATAATTAAACATAGTTGACTGGTTATATACAAATAGTTAGTTATTCAATCATATATAGCTGACTATAAAGTATAACTATCGAACTAGATCAATGCAATATTCTACATGGTGAACTATTTTGATCATATATAACTAACTATTCGTATATAACAAGTGAAAGATAACTCTGCAGATTTGCCGTTGAGGAGAAAAGTTGCGGCCATGTGTCCTGCAAAATTGTGCAGATGAGGCATTGACTTCCGTATTATCCAACAAAGTGAGCACTCCAGGGGATGCACCACCGGTGTTGGACGTAATTTTTAATGCAGGTAAAGTTTATCGACTAGGTCACTTTTTATTTATAGTTGACTATGTAAAATGGTAGTCAACTATATTATACTAAGTAGTTGACTATGTTTCACCTACAGAATCATGATGGGGAGATTTACCACTGAAAGCAAACGATCTGAAGGATAAGTTAGTCTATGGGATACTCAATGACACTTTGCCAGTAATTGGAAACCGTCTTCTTTGTCGGAGAAAGAAGATCAGAACTCTTTTTGGCGGTAAAAATTGGGACTTTTGCGGCGTCGGCGAAGAAGACAAATCTGATTTAGGTTCTTACGGCGACAAAAAAAACATCACAGAGGAGTGAGCCGAAGACATAGAAAATTTTGCAGCGAAGGTAAGAGATCCAACGAAGAACGAAGCTAGGGTTTTAAGAAGAAGAAGAAAGGTTTTTTTTGTTGGTTATTCACCAAATTCACTCTTGTTATAATACTTTTCTCATAAGAATTACAAAAAAGAAATGTTTAGTATATCCCTATTAATGACTATTAAATTTTCATATTAAATTCGATAATTTGTTTAACGATACAAAACTAATGCAAATATTTAACATGGAGAAATTTGTATGATATAGCGCTTTGCGTAAAATCTCTTCCCTAAATTAGATAGTGATAACGTTTGTGGTGTATATTATTATGCATGGAGTGTGTCTACTCGGCAACATGCCTTGGTTTGTTTAGCTAATTTTGGTGGGATAATAAAATCTTGTGTAATTAGTCGATCGGTCATATAATTATATACAAATGCAGCTTAAACATTAAGCATGTGATCCTCGAGAACTTCACATAGGAATCTTTTTTTATAAAATGATGTTAATTCAATGTCCCCCAATGATCTTTATTAGTCATTTTCCGTCATCGATTTCTATATGAAACTATTATGTTTTCGTTTTCATTTACATCTAACTTTTGGGAACTTTTAAACTCTAAATTTGATTGAAAAAACATTTTACTGCCTTTACCATTTCTCAAGCCTTCTTTTGTCAAACAAACAAACAACCATTATTATTAAAAAAAAAAAATTATTTTGTAAATGGATGTGGATTATTTGTTTAACATCGATGAGGAAGCAGACAGAGTTATTAAAGAGGAAATTTCCATAAATGGCGACACGTGCTGTAAATAACTCATCTGCTCTGTAATTAAAACGTTGCTTCTAAATTACCCGCGAATTTCATGGGTCAAAACAAAATTACTTTCTCTGTGATTTAATAACAATATAGTATCATTCCTAATTAAAATGGACACAAAATTTTAAAAGCAGAGAGAGAGATTTAAACGGAGAAGAAGACTTTGGGAAGGATCCGAAGAAAACGGGTTACTTAAGAAACAGTGGTTCGGTTCTTAATTTCCTCTTAAAGATCTCTCTCTCTCTCTTTTTTTTTTAACTTTTTATTGACACGAAAAGACGAAATAGGCAGAGAAGAGAAAGACGAACAGAGGATTTTGCAAAGA